GGGTGCTCTATTCTGTTCCATTGATCAGTGTGTCTGTTTTTATACCAGTACCATGCTGTTTTGGTTATTATAGCTTTGTAGTATAGTTTAAAGTCAGGTAGAGTAATACCTCCAGCTTTATTTTTTTTGCTCAGCGTTGCTTTGGCTATTCGTGGTCTTTTGTTATTCCAGATAAATGACTGTATAGAATATTTTCAAAGCTCATCCATGTTTTAACATATATCATCATGTCATTGCTTTGTATTCCTGTATAGTATTTCCGTGCATGAATATACCACATTTTATTGATCCATTCATCTGTTGATGAACATCTGGGTTGTTTCCACTTTTGGCTTCTGTAAATAATATGTTTTCTTGGCTGCATACCTAGCATAGAATCAGTGGTTCATGTTGTTGATTCACTCTCTTTCATAACACGATGATATTTTTTTCCTGTTGAAATTCCTCCTCAGATAAGAGTGTAGTATGCTTAATGCAACTTAAAAAAAATAAAGCCAATACAGTCCAAAGAAAATTTTAAAAGTAACTGATTTAGATAAAGAGATTATTAGAAAGGTGTCGCAAATTGTGTAAGCAAAAGATATTACAACAATTCCTTCTGATGTCATTCTGGGGCAATTTACCAATGAATGTTCTAAGGATTGTTTAATCTTCTAGGAGAATGTGCTTAAGTTTGACTTTGTTATTTAATATTGATTTACTATTTACTTTTGTGGCGTTGTCCACGCCGTGGCAGGATCCTAAAGGAGTCAGCTTGGGCTGCCCTGTCCAAGCCATCAGGGCCACTGAAGGGAGAGCTGCTGGCAAGGCCACAGCTATGAGCACTTGCTGCAACCAGAAGGACTGCCTGCCTCGGCTTTGTGGCTTTTGCCTTCTCTTTCGATATTTTGGTTAGCGTGGTAGTTCTCTGAATTCCCAAAAGGTTATAAAAATAACACAAATAATTATGCTGTCATTCCCACAGAGGATCCGAGTAAATTGGACAATTCAAAATTATCCCCTTATGATAAATTGCTGTGGCTCACTCGGGAGAGTGCGGTGCTAATAACACCAAGGCCTAATGTAAGTTGGCAAACATCATTTACTGGAGGTTATATTAATGGCAAGAGAATGGTTGGCATTAATGAGAAATTATATGATTGGGACAAATTAAGTATATGGGAACGAAACTGTAGACCCCCCTTTACTTGGTGGTATCCGGTTTTAAATAAATCATTAAGGATTAGATATTGGGATAAAAAATATATGCTGTAAAATTATTAAACCTGAAAAATTAGACCTAAGAGGCAAATGTAACTGGTTTTGTGAGGGATGGTGCTGTGTGCAAGGACACTTTAACATTTAGATCAAGATTATAGGGCCACAGCGAATGCATAACCTCAAGATGTGCATGATAATGCTGCTCAAATATCCACTGTTCTTTTTCCATATGAACAGTAGGTTCATTCCATTAGAACATAAAATCAGTACACCCCCATTAGAATTTAAATGTTAACATTGTTCCTTTTATCAAATTTGTACTTACATTAAGCAATAGACATAGGTCACATGATAGTACTGTCTATCACTTTGCAACTGCAATAGTCCCACCCTGTTAATAGGGTAGATATTAACTACAGCTTGCCAACCGGAAAAGGTCACAGGTTAACTTCAGGACAATGAGAACATGGTCCCAATCTGATAAACTGATACCAAAAGGAGGAAGCACGGGCTTATCACCTGAGACGTGCTAACGAAGGAAAAAAAAAAAACTGGCTCCCCCTGTCTTTTTGAATTATTAAGCTTGCTGATGTAATAAAAATAGTAGCCAAAAAACCCCTGCAGAGAAAAAACTAAATAAAAGGCATTGTCTCATGCTCTACTGTGCTCCAGCTGCAACACGCTGACAGCCCACAGAGAGAGAATATGCATACTGATACATTGAGGTCTCTGTCTGTGTTTGTTATTTTCGCCAGCTTCCTCATCCCTCTTCAAGGACCCACAAACTCGACTGGAGCTGGTCTCCGGCACTTTTGAGTTCAGATACAATGTAGCCAAATATTAACTTACATATTTCTGTCTGGTAGAAATATCTTTCACCAAATCATGATTTTATTAGCATTAATCAGTTTTGTATCTGATTTGGCCAAATAATCATCACATTCCTTTTTCTCACCAAAAAGTTTATAAATACTTCTTCAAAATATTTTTTGAGGGCCGGCCTGGTGGCGCACTCGGTAGAGTGCAGCGCTTGGGAGCGCGGCAGTGCTCCCACCGAGGGTTCGGATCCCATATAGAGACCGGTTCACTCACTGGTTGAGCAAGGTGCAGGCACGACACCGAGGGTTGCGATCCCGTTGCCGGTCCTGGTGCGGGCGCGACAACGAGGGTTGCGATCCCATTACCGGTCACGAAAAAAGACAGAAAGGAAAAAAAAAAATTTTTTTGAAACAGATTTGCAATCTTACTGGTTTCTTCCTCAATGATGCAGGTATTTCTACAACATTGTTTACTTAATATATATGTGAGTTATGGATTATATTTTTCTAAAAATTTGAAGAATATACTTGGACTGAATGATGTAATAAAGATTCCAAATTCTAAACAATCAAATGACAAATGACAGCTAATAGCCTTTTTAAATGTAGACTGGCAAATAAATCTTTTTTCTTCTATGTATCAAATCTTTACATTCTTTCTCAGAATATTGATTTTTTTCCTAAAAAGTACACTTTACAGTATTAAGACCTAGGAAAGAATCAGAGACAGAATAATAGTATATCAGTAATGCTTTACCATAAAAGAGGTTTCAAACCTGAATACCAAATTACTG